CCCTCACACAAACACACACGCACGCACCTCAACAAGCACCCACCAGAATGCGTGGTTGCGAACCCGCAAGTGATCACTTCCCAATCGCCAGCTTGGCACAGCAGCCCCTCCGTTACGCACCAGGCAGACACACTCAGGCACACACCCACACACATACATCCTTGCACACCCACACACGCGCCACACGCACCAGGATGCGAGACTGCGACCCGCACGTGATCACGTCCCCATCAGCCAGCTGGCACGGCCGCCCCTCCGTGCGCTCGCCCTCCTCTCCGCCTCTGCGTTGATGGCCTCATCGTTCAGCAGCGTGCCGTTGAGCGACCCGCGATCCACCACCTCCCACCGCCCCGACTGCTCGAGTTGTGGTTAGGACAGAAGAAGGGCAAAACGAAAGCAGGGTACGTGAAATGGACTCCTCCCTTCTATTCGTGACAGAGGTTCAGCTGCGGGTCGTTCGCCTTCCTTCACCCGCCCTATTGTGACTTTCTGGGGCGATGCGAAAGATCGCCTAAAAAGTCACTCAAATGCACCAGGTCATTCTCAGTGACGTAAGCATGTTTGCTTCGCTGGCACCTCAATGGAACACGGTACGAGAAACAAACCACTTAAACGCACGCACCAGGGCGTTCCATGTAACATAGGCGTGCTTGCTGGACACCTCCCCATCGTTCAGCTGCAGGTCGTTGGGCCTTCACCCGCCCTATGGTGGCGGACGGCCATGGCTCCAGCTTCTCATTCTTCAACACAGCTGCCGCCTGATGCCGGCCCGCTGATCACCTCCAGCACCAGTGTGGCGCCTGGTTGTGCAAGTAAAGGGGTTAGAGGCAAGAGGTGAGGAAAAGACACACGTGACAAGCTTCCATCCCTCCAGCTTCTCGCTCTGTGAGCATTCCCCTCCTGCCTGATGCCGGCCCGCTGATCACCTCCAGTACCAGTGTGGCGCCTGGTTATAGAAACGGGGTGGGCAGTCGGGGTGAGAAACCAGGTTTCGAAACGGGGTATGCCTGCCTACTACTCCATTCCATCCTCTCTCCACGATTCATTCACCATCCTGCCTGCCTCCAACCCACCTTCCCTCCTAGCAGCCTTCTTTTTTGCAGCAGCTGCAGCATCAGGGACAGCAGCAGCAGGAACAGCCGCAGCAGCAGAAGCAGCAGCAGCCTCTCCGTCCCCCTCTCCATCCATCCCCTCCCCAGCATCATACTCCCTCACAGTCGGACTCTCCAAACTTCACCCTCCCTTGCCCCCCCCTCCCTCCTTCCTCGCGCGTTTATTCGCCGCAGCAGCCACCGCTGCTGCCTCCTCTGCCGGCTCTGCCTCCGCCTGCCGCCGCTCCTCCTCCCACTGCTTCTGCCGCGCTGCCCGCGCTGCCTCTGCTGCTCTGCTTCCGGCCGCTGCTTGCTGGTCCGCGGAGGCGGAGGGGCTGCGAGGGCGGGAAGGACTGCTGCTCTATGTCCTCGCTCTCGTCGCCCCAGTCCTGGAAAAAACGGGGGGATTGGGAGGTTCGGTGGAGGTTGGGGGGCGGAGGAAGGGAAGGGGAAGGGGAGGGAAGGAAGAAGGGGGAGGGGAAGGGGAAAGGGATTAGGGGAGAGGAAAATATGGCATCGCCATGCTCTGATTCTTCACAGTGCGGTTCGTGCTTGTAGAAAGAAACGTGTACTCTGAGATACGAGTTGTGAATGAGCAATGCAGAAACCATATAGCTGCTGCTACAGCTGCAGCTGCAGGTGATTCGCACCTGAGAGAACAGAAGCGGCACGCGAGTTTCGCCATTAGCAGCCGCTGCAGCCCCAGCTGTAGCCGCTGTCCCTGCGGGCGCCTGGCCAGGCCCGTCGTACCCATCACCGTCTCTCCGTTTCTTCCGCATGCACAGATAGCACACCCCGATGGCGACCACCGCGCACACGGTAACGCTCGCGATGACCACGTGCGACGACGGAGCCATGTCGGCGAGCGAACGGCCTGGATGCGAATCTAGGAAATGCCCGAGAAATCGGACGGTGGAGAATGCCGGAAGAAGGTTGCGCCGAGGGCTTGCGGGAATGGGAAGTTGTGGCTCGCGCGGGAAAAGGAGTCGTCTGACGCGTCGCTGTTGCGCCAGGTGTGGGGTGGTTGCCACGTGGCGGCTGGGACTGCTCCAGCAGCATGGACCGAGAAATGTAATGTTGGACCATTCAGAAAGCAACACGTGGACGAACCGCGGATTGCAGAAGCGAGGTAAGACCCGAGACTAGTACTAACCACCAGATTCACATTTCAAACCACGTCCGAGGTTCGGCAAGGGATCGTCGCGACGCGAAGAAGAGCATGGGTTCACTGAGATGGAAATAAGCAGATGCATGCGTGGACTGGCGTGAGCACGAAATGCGGAATGTGACGGAATTGCTGATCCTAAAACCACAATGCTGCTGGGATGACGGCGCAACGGGGGGCGGAGTTTCCTAGGTTAGGTGTACCCTGGCTTTGTTAGGTGTGTGAAGTACATGGGGCCTAGGAATCGTCCAGTGTTGAGGGCGTATTCCTAGTTGTGAAGCGCAGATGACTTTCCGGTTGAGATTGTGACCCAAGAAAGTTGTACGGTTAGTAACTATTTCGCACATTTTTTTCCCATAATGGATTAACAATGGGAATATTATAAGTCTTCCTTATGCTTCTTGGTTGATTTGACAATACAATGTAGATGCCAACTTTTCGCCTTATCCTTTGTTACCGTATTTACCCGGGTAATCAAGCCGGGGGTCTAATCCTACCCCGGGAAAAAAAGGTGGGTGGGTCTATTAAGTGGGTGTTAAATTAATAGACCCGGGTCTAATCCTATGTGCATTTCAAGTTTCAATGTCATTTGAAATGCCAGTGTTTCAGTGCAGAAGCGAGAATTCTAATGTTGAGTCAGAAATTTTATTACCACAGCCTGACGCGAGGCACGCGCACGTCAGATTCTGCAGTCAAGTCAGTGAAATTTCGCTATAGCAAGCTGTCCCTTACTACATTCTCGCTAAAAATAGGAGTATATACAGTGAGGGGGGTCTAATCCGGATTCGTTACGAAAATGGGGGTCTATTACAGAAGTGCATATAGCATAAGAGCCCCCCCCCCCCCATTTAACGACCCGGGGGTCTATAATTGGGGGGGTCCATTACCCGGTTAAATACGGTACATGGAAACAGAGAATATATGTGTGCATAAGTAGGCGGCGCCTCCAGTGTGCTCGCTCCTGTTTATTTGGAATCAGTTGCTGACAATCTTGAAAGCTCATCTGCAACAGTGTGCATGGGAGGATATCAGCAATCACAAACAACGAGAAACACAGATGTATCATGCAGTTTACACAAAAGCCAGCAGAGCATGTCACGCTGGAACAAGCGAAAAAAAAGGTAAGGGAAAGAGAAAAGCTTCCATCTTACTTCTGTTGGGAACAAATAGCCTTAAACGCTTCTGTAGTATCGAAACTTCAAGACACAAGCGAAGCAGCGCAAATCGAAGTACCAGCGAGTCAACCCTCGGAGGTTGATGCAACGCTGGAGGTTACGCGAAAGTCAAAGGTCAGCGACCTTTGACCTGACAAATGCAGCGCGACAGCAAGGACACACAACTAACTCGACATTGAGCAGTTACCCGAGTCGCACTGTATCGAACCGCAACAGTAGAGTAGTTACAATTATGTCTCTTCATATTCTCTTTACTCATATATATATTCCTGTATCTCTTTGCTTTAATCAACTTACTTTGCCCTCACATACTAGCGCAAGGTGGTTCAAGGACTTAATTCAAAACGCTTCCGCTACTACATCGTTTATTCAGACTTTAACTCTACCAAAGATCCTAGGGCGTTCAGCCCAACATGGTATGAGAGCAGGTTAGAGTTAAAATTTTCTCTTTTCTTCAATACTTATCACACCAAGAAGACATGTCTACTAGAAAGGAGAGGAGCTCCTCCAACGGCTCTCCCGGTACTACCCCTACTCCACCTCCTGCCTCTGGCCTACAGACAGAGGAAGGGACAACAACGAGACCAACAGCTGGGTCTACTGAAACACCCGCAAACCAAGGCGTGGGCTTCGATCCAAGTATGATGGAGAAATTCTTCTCCTTCATGTCCTTCTACGAGCAGCATCAGCAAGGAGTACCTGCGCAATCAAACAACAGCAACAACAACAACGTGACGCCCATGAGCCTCGATGGCTCATCCTACGCACGCGCGAATCAACAACAACAACCTACCTTCGCTCCGTACGAGCCCCAGCGCGGTTCCGTCAGCTTCATGCCACAACCACAACCTGCACCGGGACAAGAAAGAGCGCTGGACGCACTACAAGTTTAGTCGCAGTTCGTGCATGTTCTAAAACTACAAACGACAAAACCCTTCGACGGGAAGGACTTCTTTACCTGGTCGTTCGAATTCGAGCTGATGATGGAAGGAGCGCAGATCCTTGGCTTCTTCGACGGGTCCCTGCCATACCCAACAAACGGCACACAGTATGAGAAGCAGCAATACACCTATCAATCGATGATGGCGTACACAATACTACTGAGGAACATCACTTCGACTCAACAGCAGAACATAAGGACTTACCGAGGATATGGCAACTCTGCGGAGCTCGCGTACAACCACTTGAAGAACCTGTATCAAGCAACAGACAGCGTAAACCAAAGTCGGTTAATGGCGCAGTTGACAACAATCGAAATGAAGCCAGGAGAAAAGGGAATGGCGTATATCAGTCGCTGCCGCGAGCTGCACGACAAGCTTCTTCGATGTGGAGGATCGATTTCAGAAGACGCCTTCGTCACGGTTGTCATCGGCGGTCTTGGCCCTCACTGGCGCTCCACTCGCGCCATACTACGAGAACACGGGAGAATCTCCGAAGCAGCACTCTGCGCCGAAATTCATGCCGAGCAGCAAGACATGGACCTGCAAGAAGAACGACACAAGAGAAAGGTATCAGCACCAGAGTTCGCGTTTCACAGCCAGCGACGCTACAATAACAACAATCGGCAACAACAACAATTGAAGCCAGTACCTCCGTTTTGTCACATCTGCAAAACTTCAGGGCATCCTCGTACGCATTGCCCGTATCGTCAACAATCGACAACACCACAGCGACAACTTCGGCCTTCAAGTACCCAAGTCACTTCAACGCAAGCAAATCCCACGACAAAGATTCAAGCTTCAACGACTCCAACAGGACAACATGCACAAGGAGCAAGAAACATCGTCAACTGCATGGCAAAGATAACAGATTCCTGCATCACCGAGTCACCACCGCACTACTCACCAGAAGAACGACTCGACGAAACCACACCTCGCCGCGAGTCACTTCAACCAAACCCGACACACGCCGCCATCGCCCAAAGCGAGCCATCCGGAAGAGACACTTGGTTCTTGGACAGTTGCTGCGGACAACACATGTGCTCTTCGGGACACTTCGTCCAACGCGAGCACCAACTTCAACGAGAGGTCGTCATCACAGTCGCCAACAACCAGAATCTGCGCACACGACGACAAGGAGTAGTACAACTTCAGTCACGAGAAACAAATGTTATACTGCATATGTCAAAAGTACTAATTGCGGAGGGACTCGGTTACAACTTACTAAGCGTCAGTCAGTTGATGGCGAAACGCATACACCTGGAAGCCGACAGTACCACCCAGGAGTTCAAAATGTACCACGAGAAAGGCGGCCTCTACATCGGAAAGGCGGTCCTGAAGAAAAACGTCTTCGTCCTTGACTTCGTCCCAGACCTGGGCAGCGCAGACAGCGACGCCATCGTGAACTTCACCGACAGGACACATCCTCCGGATCTCGACCCCGACTTCAGCCCGGAAGGCTTCTGGTGCTCGCATACCATCCCTGAAGCAGAACGAACACGTGCGTTAGTAACGATACAAACATCGGCAGCAGCAGAGACAACATCGGCTGTAGCAGAAACAACATCGGCAGCAGCAGAGACAACATCAGCAGTAGCAGAAACAACATCGGCAGTAGCAGAAAAAACATCGGCAGCAGCAGAAACGTCGGCAGCAGCAGAACCATCGTCAGCAGCAGCGACATCAGTCCTTGTTGACGAAGCACCACCAACACCCGCACAGCAGCTGAACCCAACTCAACGAGAAGTCCACAGAAGCGCAAACTTTGTCGCCACCTTCTACTCCAACTCCGACGCGTATCTACGCTCACCCGGACATCGCGCCTCCGAAGACATCTGGCACGCACGCATGGGACATCCAAGCAACGCCGTGTTAAATAATACAATAAGAGCAGGAGTCCTGGACAAGGACTCATTACTACTACCCGACGGCAGAGAACTTCAACGGGCACGAGGAACTTGCCTTACCTGCCAGAAGCCGACTTACCACATCGACCGTTCACTCCTCACCACAACCCGAGCGCACCTGCGTACGCACCACTCGAGAAGGTGTACAGCGATATTCTCTACAATCGAGAACCAGGACAAGTTACTCACAACTACACGATCACCTTCATCGACGCCGCCACTCGATACGTCTGGCACCTAAACCTACCCAGCTACATGGCACTCGCCGTTCGCCGCCTGGCACCTAGCGAGAGAGTCGCCTGGCTCCAGCCGTACAGAGAGGGGAGCACAACTGAAAAGCTTCCAGACGGGGGGAGAATACACCTCTCAGCGCTTCAAGCGGTACCTGGCGGAAAGATGAATCAAGCAGCTTCTCTCCCTTCCCTACGCCCATTAGCAGCAAGGTGTCGCAGAAAGAATGAACAGGACTCTGCAGAACAGCATGCGCAAACTGTTACGTGGCATGCGACTACCCAACCACCAGTGGCCTGCAGCAATGGACCACGCTGTCATGCTGCGCAACTTGATGTCGTCGTCCTCACTTCCGAACAACGCATCACCGCATCTGCTGTGGACAGGGAAATGAGAAAATGAGAACGAGAATGAATGACTAAGGAATGGAAGTGATACAAA